AAATGGAACAAAAATCTCTCTACGTTGTAATTGTGTTTTTAATCAACTTTCTTTGACCTTTGACTTTGATTCCGAACATTGGATCTTCAACACACTGACACACACACAACCAATACACACACACACACACACACAAACAGACACACACACAAACAGAGATACAAAGAAACGATAGTCCCTGCCTCGCCCCGTCTTTAAATCAGAGAAACTCTCTTCCATCAGAATCCACCTATTGATAGGCACACGTCTAACAATCGATCAATAAACTCTCATGTAGATTTGCGATCTTTGTAGTCCTTTTCATGCATAAATATAACTCAATATTCCACCAAAAATGTACTGCATTTGAATGCCACTAGAGATGCGTATAGAATTTTGCTGTAGATTCAATGAAAAATATCGAATTTAATTTTTTTTTTTTTTGTGAATCGAACAGAGCACCCAGCCACCCACAGAAACCATCCACCAAAACGATATACATAGTTTTTTAAGACCGAATTAGAGACCCATAATATCCCACGACCCGACCCACAACGACACACACAAACACACACACACACAGAGAACACACACAAACAATATTTTCCAGTATTGCACAAGTTTTGAATGTGATTTTTATGGTTTGTAACCATTTTTCCCCCGTATTTTATGTAAATAGATTTAGTTTCTTTTTTGTACAGTGAAGACTGCTGTTTGTAAATTTTTGTACTGTATTTTACCTCCTCCCCTACCCCCGTCTTTAAGGCAAAACTCTTGCCTCTTGTCTGTGAATTTTCCTTGTGGCATGAATTGTTTTTTGGACTGTTTTTTGACTTTGTCTTTTATATGTTTTCTCCCCCACTCACCTCAGCGCCAAACCACCTCCACCACGAACTCCACCTCCACCTCCACTCTGTTGCCCTTCACCTTTACCCTGTGCTCTCACTGTAACTGTACTTCACACTGTGCCCCCCCTGGGATCTAGCTCTGTTATCCATCCGAAAAAGAAGAAAAAAAAAAAAACATTTCATTACTTGTAATTCAAGTGGATTTCAGCCAGGCTCAGGGAAGTTAATTGAAATTTGTACTCCTCTTTTTGATGCACTTGCAATGTCTGCGTTTGTCCGAGAACCCGCGATCCCCCCCGCCCCCGCAAAGGGTGCCCGATCCCCGCTTTCGCCAGGAAGTCCTTTGCAAGCGCATCCTTTGCATCGGCCTCTGCCGAGGCGGCTGGCCTCTTCCTTTCTCTCGCTTTGAGTTTTGTGCGTACATCTTATGGCTCTCTCGTTGTCTTTCAGCGGCTTTCATAGAATGGAGTAATTTTTTTGATTTTTGTAGGCCAAAAACCAAAAACCACACACCCCCCCCAAGGCTTTTAGCAACTTGTTGCGCTTTCAACTTTAACCTTTTGTAGTAGTTGTAAGTTTTGTGCATTTTTTATGTTTTTTTACCTTCCGTTCAGAAGAGACAATCCATCCAATGATCTTCTAAGAGCCCGACTTGAGTATTTGCGATATCATGTTTTACTTTCAAAGCCCCGCCCACGCCCCGCCCCCTCTCCCCCAGCGCCCTCCTCAACCCCCCAAACCCCCCCCCCAAAACCACCTTCATGACTGAGCAGCAATGGTAGCAGTTCCAAAAATAAAAAAATATACAAAATATCGAATAAAAAAAAAAAACAAAAAAAAAACATAAAAGTAAAATTCGCACAAGACTTTTTGTTTTTGTTTTCGAAACATCTCTCCAATGCATTCTGTTCAATCGAAAGCGAAAATTAGTTTTGCGAAACTTTCATCGCCATCTCAAGTAGAAAGTTGTACCCCGCCCCCAGCCCCCAGCCCCCAGCCGCAACCCCAGCCCACCCCCACCCCCCAAAACCCCGCCCAGCCAAGCCCCCGAAATGGGGACTAAATTATGGAAAATTTAATTAACTTTCCCGAAGTTTGACAGTCGAAAAAAAAGAAGAAAAAGAAAAATCAAAGACCACTTCAATTGCAATCTGTCTCTCTCTCTATCTCCCTCTCTCTCTGTCTATCTACCCTCGCGTACTCTCTCTCTATCTATCTATCTATCTTCATCTATCTCTATCTGTAACTCTCACTCTTTGTATCTTTGTATCTGTACTATGTATTTACTCCACTCCTCTGTCTCTATCTCTATCTATATCTTCTGCTCTATCTGGCAACAACAAAAAAAAAAGAAAGCACTCTTCAAATGATTCGTTTTTGATTCTTTTTTTCGGTTTCATGTATCTTTTAGTGCGTCTTTTGTTTTTGTTTTCGGTTTGGTTTTGTAATGACTCCTCCTTGACTAAGTATCTTTTGTATCTAATAACTGCATAACTATCTTAAACTTTTTGTATCTGTATATGTAGAATACCATAAGTCATAACCTAGAACAGAGCGACCGTGCCCGTGCCCGTGCCCGAAAACAAAGAAAGATCCCCCATGAAAATTCAACCTCAACTCAATGAAAATTCAAGCCCAACAACCCAACAAACCAACAAACCATCCCTCTAAATGTACTGCCCGACAATAAACCAGTTCCAGTTCCAGTTCCGGTTCCGGTTCCAGATCCAGAGCGTGGTTGCGTACAGTGGCCTTCTATGGTAGATCTGGACACTAAAACACAGAGAAAGGCACCTTTGTGTTTATATATCGACTCGTACGATATATATCTATCAACTACTAATGCCCGAACCCCCCTGCCATGCCCATGCAGCGCGTCCCCCGCCCCCCTCCCACACAAATCTCTCCTTGGGACAGAGTCTGCTGCTCAAGAAAGTCAAATGTCAGTCACACACTCTCACACGCACACACCCAAACACCCACACACACACACACACACACACATATGCGCATAGCCAGACATACAAGGGGGCCCCCGAGAAATTTTTGTGACCTAATGTGGCAATCAGCAGACGACGCCTCTGGCACCTCTCTTCTTCGATAACCAATCTGGCATTGAAATTCGGAATTTGCATTTGCATATCTGACAGGCCGCCCCCTTGCCACCCCCCTGGACCCTGTGACCTGTCCGCCGCCCCCCGCCTGCCGCCCCCCGCCCACCTGTACGCCCTGGGATTGGCAGTTTTTGGTAAATTACATAAATTACATAAATTATTTGGGTCTCTGTGGCCCCAGCAAATCAAATGTGACACGGCAGGACGTTGGACGTTGGATCCTTGCCGGCCAGAGGGCGGGTCCTTGGGTTTTAATTTGAGTATTTTTTTTTTGTATCCGTTTCTCTCGTAAACTCTCGTAATTCTCTGCTCGTTTGCTACGAAAGTTATGCATTTGAATTTGAAATTTAGAATTTGGATTTGGATTTGAATTTGGATTTAATTTTGTCTTTTGTGTGTTTTGTGTGTTCCGTTTTTGGTTTCCTTCCTTGTCATTTGCTAGAATCTATCATGAATATTGATTGCTAGACGTACTCGTAATTTTCAGTTATGTATCTATCTATCTATCTATCTACTTATCTATCTATCGAATCATTTTCCGCCCCCCCCAACCCCCTTTCGCCACCCCGCCACCCAGAAACAACAAAAGAAACACAATGAAAAAAAACCAAAAAAAAAAAAAACACGTGAACAAATTGTTTGTCCAATCGTTAGATTTAAGGATGTTTCGAGGAGCAGGATGATTAGAAAACAGAAATAGATTTTGAAAAAAAAAAGAAAGAAAAAATGTCGACTGCAGACCCCAAGGGTATAGCGTCTCTTATTTGACGATGGAGTGCCCCCCCTGGTTCACCCTCATACCATAATAATATAATCGATCCAATTATAGAAGACACAGACACACACGTATAGAATACATGTATGTATGTAGGTGTGTTATGTCCTTGTGTTGCGTCATGTGATCTGTCCCACAAATCCAAAAAGAAACCAAACCAAACATACACAGAGTCACTCAACCACACACACACACACACACTCAAAGACACACACACTCAAACACACACATTAACAGCTCACACACCAGCCATAGAGAACCCCCCCCACCAAACCCAGAGATAGAGACCATGATCAGAGATCTCTCTCTCCCCCCACCCGCTGCTGATCCACTGAGCCCGACGAGCTCCAAAAAAGGAAAGAGAAACCCCTTTTAAATCGAAAAAAAAGCTTATGTTTATATATGTTTCTATTTTATTTAAACGTTAAGTTTGTATTATGGAGAAGGATTCACGACAGATAAAACTGAACAAAAAATATAATGATATACTTCACATATAGTACAGCAGCCTTTGAAACAAACAAAAAGAAAAGAAAACAAAATGCAAAAAAATCGGTCAGGAAAGCCAACAAATGAAGTCCACCCCCCAGCCCCCCATCCCCAACCCCCAATGTCTCTCTCTGTCACTCTGCCACTCTGCCACTCTCTCTCTCTGTCTCTCTGCCACACTCAGACCAAAAAGCAACAGCAATTTGACTAACAATCATTTGAAGACCGATCTCTCCGATCCCTCCGATCTCTCCGATCCGAACCGATCCGATTCGATCCGAAAACTTAACGTTCAAGTGGAAGCTAACTGACCCCAAACCAGGCCCCCAGGCCCCCAGCCCCCACCTCCAGCCACGGCCACGACGCTGAATGCATTACATTTTGCATAGTCGTCTGTGTGGAATGAGAACGTGCAAATATGTACGTGCCTGTACCTAAAATATACCGAATACGTCTACTACTACTACTACTACCACTACTACTACTACCACTACTACTACTACTATCAATCCTATAATCGTTATCGTAATCGTTATCGTAAACGTGTTATCGTAAACGTGTTATCGCTGTGCGTATATCGAGAGTATATATATACGATATGTGTACGATATATAGCCAATATCCCAAAAATTTGCTGAAATGTCTGATGGTCTTCGACAAGTCAATCGATTGTTTCTTTACCGTTCGCAGGTTATCGCAGTGATATCCATACTATTCATAGTCCTGTCTACCATAGCCCTGACGTTGAACACCCTACCACAACTACAACACATTGACAACGGTACACCACAGGATAATCCGCAATTGGCAATGGTTGAGGCCGTGTGTATCACGTGGTTCACTCTAGAGTACATACTTAGGTTTAGCGCCTCGCCGGACAAGTGGAAGTTCTTTAAGGGCGGCCTTAACATAATCGACCTATTGGCAATACTCCCATATTTTGTTTCGTTATTTCTATTGGAAACGAATAAGAATGCAACGGACCAGTTCCAGGATGTGCGCCGGGTGGTGCAAGTATTTCGCATTATGCGCATCCTGCGAATCCTTAAGCTGGCCCGTCACTCAACGGGCCTGCAGTCGTTAGGCTTTACGCTGCGTAACTCATATAAGGAACTCGGTCTACTAATGCTGTTCCTGGCCATGGGCGTTCTCATATTTTCTTCGCTGGCATATTTTGCCGAAAAGGATGAAAAGGACACAAAATTCGTTTCAATACCGGAAACATTTTGGTGGGCGGGTATTACAATGACAACTGTTGGCTACGGGGACATCTATCCCACAACTGCACTGGGAAAGGTTATTGGTACTGTGTGTTGCATATGCGGTGTTCTGGTAATCGCTTTGCCTATTCCCATCATCGTTAACAATTTTGCTGAATTTTATAAGAATCAGATGCGACGCGAAAAGGCCCTCAAGCGGCGCGAGGCCCTCGATCGGGCCAAGCGCGAGGGCAGCATTGTCTCCTTTCATCATATCAATCTGAAAGATGCCTTCGCCAAGTCCATGGATCTCATCGATGTGATTGTCGACACAGGTAAGTCGTCGAGGCATCGCCAGATGTCCCTTCCATCTATCTATCTAACGATATGTATCGTATAACAAACTACTACCAATATGTACAGAATAAAAAACTGTAGTTTAGTATATGCCTTGCTTCAAGTAGCCTTTAAATACCCCTCCCCCCAACCCCTACCCCTAGCCCACCCCTTTGTGGCCTCTTTTTGCTTTTGCTTTCACCTTAGATCTAGCTGTTTTTTCTTCCTTTGTGGCATGCACTGTGTTTCCGTTTCCGTTTCCGTTTCTGGTTCTCTTCTTTTTTTTTTTGGCTTTTTCTTCTTATCCTTTGGTTTGAGGAGGAGGCGTGTAAATAGCTCAGCGATCGGTGCCAAAAAAGAGCCGTAAGAATGATAGAAATTGTTGAACCAATTACCGCATACAAACAAATACTAGATATACATATATCTTTAATCCGCTGTAAACTAACAATAGTTAAGCTACATTGAATTACTCTTAAGTTTCCGTAGCCCTAAACCCCCCCTCCCCCTCCACCCCACACACACTCTCTACACACAATATATAGAGACACCCACCGGAAGATACATTTTAATGGTCAATTAGGCAAACGCTTTTGTATTTAGCGCATTAAACAAGAAATTAGTGGGGTTTAGACCCGTGTACAGGCACCACCACCCCCCCACCCCTCTCCACGCGCTTCGCTGCATTCAGCGCCCGCCCTGTCAACCCAACCCCCTGTCAATGTGTGTGTGTTCTCTTTTAGGCAAGCAAACGAATGTCGTGCATCCGAAGGGCAAACGACAGAGCACCCCCAATATAGGCAGGCAGACACTCGACGTGCAGAGCGCTCCAGGTGACTAAACATTGCGCTTAACCCCCCCGTACACCCGTACACCCGTACAGCCCGTACACCCGTATCCGGGCCCTTGACCAACGCTTTTCGTAGCGTCTTTCTTATAAACACACACCAGAAAATATATCAAGATGTACGCTCACACACCTATAAATACTCCTACACTTTTGTACATTCGCTCGCACCCTCTCTCCCCCCTTTCTCCACATGTATATCCCTCTTTTTTGCCTTTTACCCTTTACCTCCCTCCCTAGCTCTTCTATCTCTGGAGATAGTTCCATGTACTTAGCTTTATAGCATTTATAGTCTGCTTAATGGAAAATAGGGAGGCGGCAGAGTGCGTTTCATAGCTGTAGGTGGACGTAGGAGACCCAAAAATGGCCATAGAATATATGGTATTGGACAAAGAAAGTCCCCGATTGGATCAAAAATACTGATAAATAATATGTTAGAATAAATTTAAAATAAATAAAAAAAAATTATTAATCCAAAAAAAATCATTGATTGGATAGAGAAAATAATTGAATTAAAAAAATATATAAATAAATAAGTAATAAATAAATTATCGAAAAATAATATATTAAAATCAATAAATAATAAATTACAAAAAAATATTAATTTAAAAAAATTATTTGATTCGATAGAAAAAAAAATATTTAATTAATAAAAAAAAAAGTAATAAATAATAAATTACAAAATGATTAATACAAAAAAATTCTTGATTGGATAGGAAAAGTTTTTGAATTAAAAAAAAAAACAAAAACAATAAATAAGTAATAAATAATATTAAAAAAAATATATTTATTGGAAAGAACAGACTGAAATAGACACTATGGGGTAATGCTTTGGCTACACTCATCCAACAGATATGAAACGCACTGTACTGTGTCCATTGTAAATACCGCCCACCCTCCCCCCCCTCCGCCCCACTCGTATAGGAGACGATTAACGATATTACCGCGATATAGCCGTATAGCCACCGATTTATAGATGCAGCTCTAGATCTTGCGATTTGTTGCGTTATATTCGCTTTTGAGTTTTGCCTTCAGTTCCGTTCAGTTCCAGTTCAGTTCCAGTTCAGTTTATTGCCTCCATTGAGGAATTAGTTTTGGATATTTGCAAAAGAAACAAATAACATATGGAATATTGAAATTATAATGATGATTGATGATTGACTGAAAGAAAATTTGCTAAACCATTGATTGCTTGACTCTTGATTTTGAAACTGCTACACGAAACACAATCTATAGCGAATTTGAATGCCCATTCTAGAGTTTCCATTTTCGAATCTTATACAAAAAAAAAAAAAAAAATATATAGAATATCAAAAATATGAATATTTATAAATACAAAAACATTTTAGAAAATTTTCAAGTGCTGATTACATAACGTTACACCCACACCCACACACACACACACATAAACGTATATATATATATATGCTCATTCTCTTAGCGAAACAGTAGTTTGTTTATTAGCGAATCGAATACCCGCCCAAGCCTTGAGTTAAAGCCCAAGTGGGGGATAGGGTTAGCCTCCGACCAAGAGCGATAAGCCTATCCCCCCACCCCACCACCAACGCCACCCCCCCATCAGCAGATGCGAGATGTCTATCTACAACTTGTTCTTTTCTCTGCTCTTCTTTTTCTACTCTCTGTCACGCCCACAAAACTCACAAACCCCTGAACGAACCATGTAAAAATCACACACACCCACACACACACACACACCTTTGATCCACTCTCTTTTGGTTGATCTAACTAAAAAAAAACAACCGATTGATAGGCGAAAAGAACACACTGATCGAGGCGCCACCGCCGCCATCGTTTGGCACGCCCCGACGGCGAGCCCTCTCGGCCCGCATCCAGGAGCTCAACCGCAGCCTGCTCGAGGAGCGGGATGCCCAGCAGCAGAACAGTTCCAGTGACAATGAGGACAGCCGCTAGGACGAGCCCCCAGTCCACAGTCCCCAGTCCCCCCCCCCTCCCCCCAAGGCTCTATTAAACACTAAGCGAAACGTAGAACGACAGCCACATGCAATTGTTATTGTATCTGTAAATTAGTTTGTTAAACAGACACAGATTCACCCCCCTCCCCCCCCCCCCCCCCCCCCCCCCTACACACACACACACACACACACACACACACACAGACACTCAGAAAGAGCGAGTTATTAGATCTAAGTGCGAAAAGGGTGAAGGGGAGAGCCCAGCCAAGCCCCCAAAAAAATGTAAACTAGAGATAGACACCGAACCCCTAGATCGAGAGGGCTTTTGCTTGAAACAAAAATTCGATTATTTAGTTGTTTTTTTGGGTCTCAGAGAGCCCACCCCCCAGCCCCCTACCCTTATCCCAACCCATTGAATGTTGTGATTAAATGTAAATGCTTTTAGGTGCCATCCAACACACACACACACACAAACCACGCCATGAGCTGCTCCCCGCCCCTCTCTCTCTCTCTAAATATCTTCAACGATATCGTATTGAAAGTTTTGCCCTCCCCACCCCCCCCGGCCACCCATCAGCACTTGAAAATAAATCTAGAAAAATAAACAAAAATTAATAAATTAAAAATGGAAACGAAAATGTGCTTAAAATTGCTGATATTTTGTCTATGTTTTTTTCCTGCTTTTTTTTTTTGATGTTTTCCCCCCCAAGCAAAACTTTCAAGACAGCCCCCAAAAGCAGCGGTACCTGTGCGTGTGTGTGTTTGAGTGTGAGTCCCCCAACCCCCCTCCCCTCCCCCAAAAGAAAAAAGCTAACACAACACAAAGCCATTCGAGAGAGGAAGAAGAACTCTGAATACAACAATCCGCGTGAGCACAATTTTTGATTTAGTCTAAAACTTAGCATTAAACATAGGCCTTGCCTTTACTCGTACTCGTACTCGACTCGTACTGGTGCTGGTACTCCTCCTAGACCAGGCATTTATCGAGAGAGAGAGAGAGCACTAGTCAACAAAAAAGAATATACACAGAGCCAGCCTTATTTATGAAATTAGTTGTTGTAGAGAGGGCGAGCGAGCGACTAGGCTTAGTTATAATTTAGCAATCGGCTATGCATAGGTAGGTCCTAGCTAAATATACTCGTTCCATATACAAATCTAAAGAGAAAAGAGAACTTAGCAAATGCTGGCGAAACGTTCCTAAAAAAAAGAAAGAAAGCAGCAGCAAAAAACCAAATAAAAAACAAAAAAAACAATGCCTTATTTAAAGCAAAAGAATGCTCCTAGCTTGCAGCGACTAATTTAAGATAGAGTGGCGTTTTAGTTAAGTGTTAAGCCCCGATATATACATACATACTTGTACTAACTAACAATATAATAATGGTAACTAGGCGTTAAGCGAGAACCGAGCAGCGGGCGGAAGGCGGCAGGAGGGCCTTGAATATGTATACAAATGTTTTACACGAAAGAGTGCCGTTGTTTGATATTTGTAACGATTTGATGATGTTTTATGTATGATTTGCATCGTTCAAACATTTCTATCATTGCATTAGAGAAAAGCCCAGAATCAGATCGAGAAGAGAAGCCTTTACGTGCCTTTTACTTAATGTTTTTCCTGTTTCTTTTTTCCTCCAAGATATATGTGTGTATCTAACTATCTATGTGTGTGTGATCCCCCCTCCCCAACCCCCACTGATCTTTCGTTAACCATTCGTATGCTCTTTAGTTGGAATCTAACGCGCTGCATGCTCTAACCCTCCCCCAGATAATATATGATATATGATATATGATCTATAGTCTATAGAGAAAATAAAACTGTGTACGCTCTCCTTATGCTCAATGCCATTGTACTTGCTCCCAAATGAATAACTGTCTGTACTGTACTCATACTTTTGTGTACCACTGTTCGAAAATCGTTAACCAAAACGAAAACTTTTGTGTGTCTGTGAAATTAGCAAATAAAACCAAAACCAAACAGTGCGCTGTATTATTTTCATTCAAAAACGACTCCCAAACACAACCACACACACCCACACACACACACACACATTTACATGCATAAAAAACCCTCATGTGTGTGCCGTAATGCAGAAAAGGTAAAAAAATGTCCCTTTAGACCAGACAAAGGTGAGAGATGCCATCCCGAGGAGGCTTCAGATACTCGTACACACCAGCACCCACACAAAGATACAGATACAGATACAGATACAGTTACAGATGAGTACATGATTTGTGGTTGGTGTTTCGCGCATTTGTTTCGCCGATACGATCCATCCCCGCCCCATTCGTCGCCTGATCACTCATTCACATGTCATTTGGTGGAGGACAATGACCCCGGAGGGACCTTTTTTTGAGTTCGTTTTCCGCCGTAGACCTATCATTTCCCCGTACTAACCGTGTGCCTTGAGCTGGCCTACTAACTCCAGCTAAAACCTTGACTAGCCCCTAGATAAATGTTGTTCTTGCCCCCAAACTTCTAGACGTCGTTCATCAATGTTGTGCTCACTGTATTCCCCCCTAACCCCCCCCAACCCCCTACTACCGTATCGTCATCGTCGTCGTAAACAATTATTAACCGTTAACCGTTTGTTTGATCAAACCATTCATGAAATTCATATTTCTTTCTTTTTTCCTCTTTTAATTTTTTCATTTGCGCTGCAAAAAAACCGAAAAAAAAACCCGAAACAAAAACCAACATCTAATCCAATCCATTAAAAAAAAAACAAAAAACATATATATATCCCTGTGTATATATTTCACCGATATCTCTGTCGTCGGCTAAACAAATGCGAAACTGCGAAAAATACAAAAAAAATACACTGGTGACAAAATGCATTCATGGCTTCCTTTTGCGTGTGCCACAACAAACACAACAAAAACAACCGATCTGAACGTGAATCAATAACCCAATAACCCACCCACACACACACACACACACCACACACACACACACACTCAAACACACACACACACAAATGCAAATGCAAATGCAGAAAAGCGCGAGAGTCACACACGATCAATGAAAAATTGGCACCGTTTAACCCACGCGCTACGCCGATCGCCCACAGGCCACAATCTCTCGCAGACGGACGGCAACAGCACCGAGGGCGAGTCGACCAGCGTCAGCCGCAACCCGGCCACCACCGGCACCGGCTGCTACAAGAACTACGAGCACGTGGCCAACAACATGAGAAACAGTCTGCAGCATGTAAGTGATTCGGGGGGAAACCGACGCATGCCACAGGCCCCCTTGGGCGTGGAGCCCCCAGACGCCCCAGGGGCGAGATGTCCGATAGAAAAAGATTCGCTCAGGAGCATTTCAAGAAGGCAAAGGGGCTAGTGAAAGATCTTTTAGGCCAGAGATACGAAAAACAGAGCCAAGTCGAATCAAAGTCCAACAAATAAAATATTCATAAATAAATAACAATAATAAAATAAATACAATACAAATACAAATACAAATACGAATACAGCTACACTATTTTTCAAGATTTATCCTGGAACGGGTTTGACTTTTATTCACATTATTCACATTTAAACAACAACAAAATAATTTTAAAACTCTTAATTTTGATTTATATAAAAAAAAAATGCAGATTTAAATTTAAATTTATTAATATATTTTTTTTTATTATCGTAACTTTTCCTGCGACTGTTCTATTAAAAAAAATTTAATTGGTCTGTCCAATTTTTATTAAAAAATGAAGGGCCATAAAAATCAGAAATATATTCGTATTATGCAAGCTATATTGAAATTGTTTTATAACTGTTATTTTTGATTTCTATAAAAACAAAAAATGGAAAATTAAAATAAAACTATTTTTTATTAATTGATTATTTTTTTATGTATTATTTTTAATACCTTTAATATTTATTGAATATTTTCATTGTAATTTTACACAAAAAAGTTACATTGGTCTTTCCAACTTTTATTTTAAAAATTAAGGAAAAATTAGTTTTATTTTACACAAATTATATTCCAAAAATTCCTGATTCGTTAAAGAATCTCTTAAGGAATTTATTTGTCATTGAAAAGATCTTTTTAGTTCTAAGAAACGATAAGATTCAAGATAAGCAAGGTATCCATCGACTTGAATGAAGTTGAAGATACTTTTGCACCCTATCCTTATGAATTTTTAAATCATGAGCAATCGTGAGTTGTAAGTACTCCCCGTTCGAGTGTTCCGTAGTTTTGAAACCCGTTCTTGCATCTTCGATCTCGGATACTAAAATATCTTTTGTTTCCTCTGCCCAGCGTCGCGGTTCCAGCTCTGAGCAGGACGCTGTGCCGCCGTACAGCTTCGACAATCCCAATGCCCGGCAGACCTCGATGATGGCCATGGAGAGCTACCGGAGGGAGCAGCAGGCGCTGCTGCAGCAGCAGCAGACGCCCCCGCAGCTGCCTGCCCCAGCGGGCGCCACAGCCGGCGGAGTGGCCAATAATCTGGCCATGGTGGCGGCCTCGAGTGCAGCAACGGCGGTGGCCACGGCCACGGCCCCCGGCGGCGGCAGCCCACCGGAGGGCGGGGCCCAGGCGGCGGCGGCGGAGGACGACCAGACCATTGCATCGAACCAGAAGGGTCTGCCCATCCAGATGATGATAACGCCCGGGGTAAGTCAGCGAGCCGAAGGGACGAATGGGGGGCATGGGCCCGGGCCCGTACCCCTGCCCGTACCCGTACCCGTACCCGTACCCGTACCCGTACCCGTACCCGTATTGATAATCGTAATCGTAATCGTAATCGTATATCTTGAATATCTTAATGTTTTCAAAGTTCCTAAATCGTAATCCTTATGTATTAGTAAATGTGAAGGCCGTTAAACCGGCTCTAAATATATTCGAATAACTATTCTCCCCTCCCCCATCCACCCAACACACCCGCCTCTTAGCCTCTTTAGTTTTCAGTTGAAAAATAGCCCCCCAAATCCTTGGTTCCCGTTTCCCTTTTCCCCGTTTTGGTTCTCTGATTCGGCGGCCTCTTTTGTAGTAGTCCTTAGACGTTTTTCCTTTAAACAGCTTTAAACAGTTCTTTGATTTTGTACTTGAGAAACCACAAACCAATTTGGCAAAGAAAAACCTTAAGACTCTTAAGAAGATGCCAAAACAACGAAAGTATCTTAACAACCTGCAACACATTTCAACTTTTTAGATTTTACGGGGACGCAGTAAGGAGGTACATTTCAAAGTATACACAAAGAACTCAATCTACTCTACTCTACTCTACTCTACTCTCGAATCGAATGCCACAGCTACCATAAATACTCTCTGCTCTTTGATATGTACTGTACTGGAATATAATTCTAAACTCTAGCCAATTCTTCCCATTTATATGAGCCTTGATTTTGAATGGATAAATCATATTGATATGTGGCTGAACACACACACACACACACACACACACACACACACACATGCCCAATGCTATTGTATATAATTTTTGTTTCCTTTTTTTTTTGTTTTTCTGAGGCCCTTGAAGAACGTATATTCCAGCTCAAATCTGCATAACATTCTTGATACTTTATCCGATAATTCTCTTGATCTTTACTTGGTTTTTTTTCCTTTTGTTAGTGGCTTGCCTGGGGGTCTAACAGATACAAGATACTTTTGGGCCTCTGAACCGAGGCCCTTGGATCCATTAAACCCTCGGCAAGCGCTAGCTATACATCTCTCTCTCTCTCTCTTGACCCACACAAACATGGAGACACACACACACACACACACACACACACACAGCTAGATATTACATTTATTTGGGGAACAACAAACGAAAAAGCACTTTGAGAAATATATAGGTGCAGACGCATAGATACAGAGACTGGGAGAGACTTGGACTCCGCCTAGGTGTCGTACCAAGCATCCTCGTCCCAACTAGCGGCCCTCGGCTCACCAGACATCTCAAACATTTCGTGGGACACGCCCAGGTAGCCCGGCTGCCACGGCTGCTGCCACTGAGGAGGCGGCGGCGGTGGCGGCGGTAGCTGTTGCTGGTACTGATAGAAGCCAAAGAACTGCGGATCCGTGACTATGGTCGGCACCGGCGTTGGCCTGTCGAAGTTCTGGAGCGGCTGCTTCAGCTTGTCCAGCAGGGCGCGCAGATCGACATTGAGCTTGGGCTGGACAATGCCCTCGGCCGCCTGGACGCCGACCATCTGCGAGGACACCGCGTCGACGTCCTGGCGGGCGGCGAACAGCAGCTGGTCGTGGGCGGCCAGCTGGAGCTGGGCGATCTGGGCCCGGATGGCCGCCGCCGCCACCGACTGCTGGGCCGTGTGCAGGGAGGCCGTGATGGTGCGCACCTGGTTGGTGGCCTCCTCCAGCTGCGTCTGGGCGGAGGAGGCCACCCCCTGGGCCTTCCGGATCTCGGTGGCCTCCAGCTGGACCCTGGCCTGGGCCACGTACAGCTGCTGCAGCATGATGCGCAGCTCCTTGCGTCGCTCCTCGCTCTCGTCCACCTCCTCGTGCTGCCAGGCGGGCCGCGTCGGCTGGTTGGGGTCCAGCGGGGGATACTCGCAAGCGGTGCTGATGGTGATCGGTACACAGGTCGTCGTTATCATCGGCGTCGGCGTCAGCACTCCAGTGGGCTCCATGGGTGGGGGGCCGTTCTGGGGGCCGTTCTGGGGGCCGGGATCCATGGGCGGGCTCTGGGGGTACTGGGGACCGGGCTCCAGGGTTGGGCAGTCGGGGTTGACGGTGAGGCTGGCCCAGTTCTGCTGGTACTGGCCGCCGTAGCCATTGTAGCCCTCCATGCCACTATCCGCATAGCCGTAGTCGTAGTCGTCGCTCCATGGGGGGTACCCCCACTCGTGTGCTGTGCCGCCTGTACAGAGGACGCTGGCCAGTAGAACTGCGGAACGGAGAGGGCCTTAAAGGTGGTCCCAACAATCGGCCCATACTCACGGATCCATGCTCGATGGCTCTTGGGGCGCATTTGGAGGAGCACTTGTAGATGTAGGAGTCGCCTGGGGATTGATTACTGATCATCTGGGAGGGGGGGGGCGGGCGGGGGGTTTGAGGGCAGCAGAAGCGGTTGCTTAGATTGGGGCTGGGACGAGGGGTTGGGACGGGGGCTGGGACTGGGGCTGGGACTGGGGCTGACAGGTGATCGAAAGGCGACTGGCACACCACACATTCTCCACACAGCTTCGAGCGCCCGAGCATGCCCAGCAAGTGCCCGCCGTACGCTTCCCATCCTTGCCGCATGCACGCTGCATGTTGTCTGGCCTGCGGTGCATAGTATATATCCATAGTATCGTATCCATAGTATATTTCTGTAAATACATATATCGATTTGTTTTTGTCGCTGCCAAACCGAGACCCAAAACAACAAATCCTACTTATAGGAAGTCGCCGAACTGCGGCGCCAGGTGGCGCTCGAGAATCTGCAGAACCAGCGGATGGACAACCTGGAGCAGGACGTGCCCGTGGAGTTTGAGTGCTGTTTCTGCACCACCAAGGTAAAGCCGCACCCCCCGCACCCCCGCACCACGCACCCGAAACTGTAGCTTCTCTTAACTGTTTGAAATGCTTTCTATGTGCCACCCACCCCTTGCACCCACCCCTCCCTGCATGCACCATGTTTAGTCGCATGCTTTTTGCACCCCTTCTTTAGTTCCGATTCGATAACTGATCACGCACCAGGCGATAGCCAAAAGGAAAACCAGCTAAAGCCTCTAGGGCCCCCCGCCCCCCCCCTCCCCCTTGGACGCTTGGATCCGTAGATAGCCAGCCGTTGTGGTTGTCCGGGATATTGAGGGCGTATCTCGACATTGTTGCTTGCAGGATCGCATTTGCGTGTTCCACGACCGGGAGTACAGCATGCAGAGGCTGGTGCGGCCGCCGCCCTCGCCCAAGAACTATCTGGCGCTGAAGCGGATGCTCGAGGAGGGCACCATCGACATTTATTATCTGTGAAAAGTTGGGTAAACGGCAAAGCACCTCCGTCTTCGTCTTCGTCTTCGTCCTCGTCTTCGTCCTTGTCCCACGCCCCAGTTTTGAAGATCTGTTTCTGTTTTTGTTTTTGTTTCTGTTTTTGTTTTGTTTTTGTGATTTATCTTTTGTTTTTGTGTGTGTTTTCCGTTTGGCTTTGTGTGAGAATGGAAAAAACTCTGTGGAAATGTGGAACTGTGGAACTGTGGAACTGTGGTACTGTGGATATTTTTATGTTTGACTTTGTTTCTTTTTCATTTCTTTTTCTTAAAGGGCTTGCCAGGATGCCAAGGCGAGTGTATTCCATTGCGCGCGAATAGCGTTTAGCAGAAAGATACATATAGACAAAAAGATTCACTCCCAGCGGAATAAAAAAAAAACGTGTAGCCCTAAAACCCTAGGCCTAAAACCAACCACGATCTAATACTGTGTTATCCCCGATCCGTGCGACGCGAAAGCCTAAGAAAGACATAGAAAATTCTAAGAATTTAATTAAATTAAACCTCTAAATTAATCTCTAACTAAATATCTAAATGCCTAAATATATAATATATCTACACTCAACCACAAGAAAACCGACAAAAATCCCCGAAAAAACCCAACAACGATGAACCAGGAATGAGGCCAAAGCGCATGTGTTATTTAATTAATTATGGAAAATTGTGGGCTCGATCGGATCGTTCTATATTCTGCACTAAGCACGTAATTAACTAGCCTAATCGTACCCTGTAACCTAGCAAATGGGGAGTTACTTAATCGAAGAGGTTAAACCACACATCAAATGTTATTATTATTAAACAAAACAAAAATCTACCAAATGTTAAAGCTCTCTCTCTTCATCTTTAGTCGTTGTTGTCGTTGTTGTTGTTGTTGTCGTTGTCGTTGTTGTTTATTTCTGTTTACACTCAACGAAGCGCAGCAGCAGCCGGCACACACACAGAAATCAAAATCAAATTCAAAATCAAACTCAAAACCAGAATCGAATCAACCAAAAATCTTGCAATAAAAAACACCAAACAATGAATCGAATTTATTTGTACGACACCCCCTTTCGCTTTCGCTGCTCGTCTCGAATGGGTTCTCTTGCTTTCGGTTGCAATTTCGATTTCGATTTCGATTAGAGTCTTTTCATTTCCACCCTTTTTGAGCAACGGACGCGCCCCGCGGGTAAGTATTGGACCACTCGGCATCGAATCTTTATTTGCGCTCATCGCGGGGACTCATCGCGGGGATAAAAGCAGGGCGGAGGGCAGGCCCGGGATCGTGGGAAACCCCAACCCCTATTTGTGGCACCTGCTCCGATTTGTAGGCGGCAAAAAATAACTCTTAAATTTAATTAATTACATTTATTTTCATATTTAATACTTTTTTGTTATTTTTCGTTTTTTTTGGATTGTTTATTAATTCTCTTCGCTATAACAAAAAATATGCTCGGCATAATTTTATTAACAATTAATTAATTAAGAAAATTTAAGAGAAAGAAAGAACAAATAATTCAAAATAAAACTGTTAAATTAAATTAATTTGCATTTGTGATATTTTTGTTGTGTATTGTATTTTATTGTTTTTTAATTCTTTTCAATGAAAAAAAAAATGCTCGGAAAAATTGAGTTAACAATTAATTAATTAAGAAAATTAAAAAGAGATAAAAAATAATTCAAATTACAACTCTATGATTTATTTTCATTTGTGCTATTGTGTATTGTATTTGATTATTTTTGAATTCTTTAATTCGAAAAAAATTCTCGAAAAAATTCAGTTAACAATTAATTAATTAAGAAAAACTCTTCAATTAAATGAATTACATTTTTTTTAATTTTTAATACTGTTGTGCTATTTTTCGTGTTTTTTTATTTTATTGTTTATACCAAAAATATTTTTGGATTAATTTAAATAAATATACAAAAATTACAAAATTAATATTGAAAAATTTATTCATTTATTGACTAATCAAATTAATATTTTATTAATTCATTAATATTTATTTTGTAATTTTTGTATATTTATATGATTTGTATGATCTGTGGCAGCTTTCCATAATGTGGCAATATAAAGGGTTTAGGGGAGATCCATTTGGCATCAGATCCATCAGATATGCGAACACTTTCAAGAAATTAATTCCCCAAACATTCGGATATGGAAAGCCTATCAACAGGAGTCTTCTTAGGAGTCTGCGTCCTAGCAACCGGAGGCCTCGACTCTGGCAGCATCCTACTAGGGCCTTCTGAGGGTTCTGAGAGGGGGATGGAATCGAAGAAACGTCTCTCCCGTGGCCCCCTCCTTGCAGCTATGAAATGTTCACCGCACCAACGCCTTTTTTTTAAGTTAACTTTTGAATTGGGTTTTTTGCATTAACAATAATTAACAATAATTACGATATGATTACGAATGATTAGCGCTGCACGATTTGCGTTCTCCTTGACGCCTCTCCTAGTTGCATGTTTTAGTACGTTCTCGCAAGCGACACCCACCGTAGCGAGGCAGATCGCACAGACACTCACACACACACAAAAGCTAACCCAGGGACCAGACCCAATCAGCCGAGACGGGGAGCTCGAGCTCCAGCCTGATGGGCGCCTGATCTGTGATCTGTGATCCGTGATCTGTGATCCTTGATCTGTGATCCCTGATCCAGCAAATACCAAACCCCACCACTCGTTTCAGGACTTCAAGGAGTACACCGACGCGGAGGGGGTGATCGCGCTTCCGACCTCGGACTTCCACAAGCCGATCTGCCTGGAGATGCGTCTGGCGGCGGCCAATCGGCAGGCCAGCCAGTTCGGCCTGCTGGCCGGCCCCCCCCTGGGGGGCGCCTACCAGCGCCACCAGGCGGTGGGCGTGGGCCCGCTGATGGCGCTGCCGCCGCCGCCGCCCGCCGCCGGCATCCTGCTGCCCGTGGCCAGTGCCGTGCCCGTCATTTCGCAGTCCTCGTCCACGTCCTCGTCGTACGGGACGACCACGTCGACGACCATCGCCCTGCCGCTGGACGCCGCGATGCGGCCCTTCGGGGCGGCCTTCTCCAGCGCCGCCAACTTCAATCACAACTACAACAACAACTTCAACACCACCAGCACGGGCGGGATGGGCGCCAACGGTCTGCTCCTCTTTGGGGGCAACTTCAGCAGCCACTACGGGGCAGGCGGCAGCGGCGGCAGCGGCAGCGGCAGCGGCAGCAGCAACAACAACAACAACAACAACAACGCGGATCTGGCCAGCGTCGACAGCTCCGACACGTACGCCAGCTGCCAGACGCATCCGTTCCTGTCGCAGGGCGACCTCACGGCGGACTTCAACGACGAGGCCTGCGCCCTGGACATCGACATGGACAATCTGTACATAAACCCGCTGGAGCGGGAGATGCACCACCACCAGCAGCAGCACCACCCCCACCACCACCATCCGCAGGGCATCAGCAGCTCGACGGGCTTCATTGTGGGCCTGCCGGCCACCATTTCCTCCTCCTCGTCCGCCACGGGGCTGCGGGCCCAGGTGAAGAAGAGCGCCTCGGGGGACACGGCGCTGCGCAATCTGGCCGCCGGCGGGGGCGGTCTCAGT